CCCTTCCCTGCACTTCTATTTCAAACAGCACCACTGCGCTAATTTGTTATCTGTGATTGCTACAAAGCTCTGTCAGAGCAACCTGCTCCCATCAATGGGCTCTGCCAGCGTGGACATGGAGCCAGCAGCTTCCCTTAGCTTATCGGGTTGTAATGAAAGAGGACAACTATTGCTTGTTAAACAACAGGGCCATGCTAGGTGTACTTATTGCAAAGTGCTAAACTTTCAACAGTCACTCTCCTTCACAAGGGGGTGGCTCCTAAAGGGACTTTCACAGAACAGCAAGATGAGCGGTCTCTTTTTCTGAGCTTTACTGCTGTCTTGGTTTTACCTCCCTCCTTGAGAGGAAGGAATGATATAAATATCTGACTTGTAAGTCAGCTCCCAAAAAGGCTGCTGCAGTGTGCTATTACATACTTCCCTTCCCGCTACTCTAGCGCTGACCAGGCAATATATCAGCTGTGTGAAAAATAGCTAGTTCTTTTTGACACACTTATGCCCAGTACGTACCAGCCAGATAAATGCCAGCTCTCCGGGTGTTAGGACACATCCCACGCTACAGCTGAAGTGCCGCTGTAGCACTGAGCCAACAGAGCCATCAGAGGACTGGGCAGAGCCTGAACTGCGCTAATATCGTATTCTGCCTGCAATCATGTATCACTCACAGCTCATTCATCCAGGCAGGCCGCCGGTCTCGCGCACATACAGTGCTCCTGGTGCATTACCCAACTTGCTCAAGAAGTGCTGCTCTACCACACCTGCCTGTCCTTATAGAGAAAAAGGTGGGTTTGACCACTTACAGGTTGGAGGAGCCAGAGGATCCATTAGAGCAGATTTACATAAAAGCTGCCTGAGAATGTAAGGCTTTTGCATGATCTCAATATTTTGATTATAAAAGCCTGTGCTTATTCCCCCAGAAATCAGCATGTACCATTCCCAGAAGGCATAGCCTTTTTCCTCTCCTCCCGGAACAACCCTTGTGATGGGCAGGTTCATTTTTGGGGAGAGGAGAAGGCAGTCCAGTGAAGAGATCTATCAGCAGAGTCACAGTGCTGGGTAAAATTAAGGCTGTAGTAATACCTAACACTGGGTCCAGAGGCCCTTCGCTTCCCTCGCTATCTGGTCCTAGCCCTCGCTCACTTTCAGTGGCACAACTACAAGTTTGTTGTGCTATACTACAAAAGATAGCCCTGAAGTAGTGCAGGTAGGAATAAAAAGGTAGTGTGAGATGGCAGGAGAAGGCTGGGAGACACACCTTTACTCCAAAGCCACAGCATCACAGAGCTGCATCGAAAGGAAACTTAATTTCTCATTCTTCACGCAACATGTTATCACATGTACAAGCAAGAATTTCTGCTTCACATTAAATGTTGAAAATATTAAGTAAGATTTACTGTGCTACATAACCATATTCAGATTATACAGACATGCAGTGTAGTCACATAACAGTGTTGAACTTCTTAATCCAAGTAGAGGCCCTTGAAGCATGCAAACCATTTTACTAGTGAACTTTTGAACCTCAGTTGAAGACTAAGGTTGTGTCTGCTAAGAAGAGGCGCAAATTTATAATAGTTAACATCAGTGGCAACCTGGGAAGTTTCTGTTCATTGGTGATCCCAAGGACAAAAAAAAAAAAAAAAAAAAAAAGAGAGAGAGAGAGAGAGAGACAGACACCCCCTTTTTTGACTTAATGAACCAAGTAATAAATTCACATTCTAAGGCTAACCAGAAGTCACTTCTAAGCAATTATTCAGGGAAGTCCCAAGACAAAGAGATATAAATATTACTAATTTGAATAAAAGTATGTTACTGTTGCCCTAAGCTGTCAAAGGAGCAATTATAAATAAAACAACCAGAGTATAGCTGGAGACACCAGAGTAAAAAACAAGAAAGAACTAATGGAAAATCCCAGAAATCTTCAGCCTCCCAGGCAGCTTCCTGCAGTCACACATGCAAAGCTGCATTATTTATCTTTATGCAGAAAGGGCTTTGCCCAATGATATTTGGGAAATAAGTTCTAGCATAACCATCAATTTCTCCTCCTGCTTCGCAGCGACACAAACAAGCTTCTTTAATAGAACAAATGCAGTTGATAAAAAAATCCCCCATAAAATCTTACAATTCTCTGTACTACTCAAATACATCCACTCCTACAACTGCAATCACATAAGTACTGCGATGTTTGTGTGGTACACTGAATACTGTGAAATTAAGAGCTGGATTCTGTTTCCTAGTCAATAGCATAAGAAATAGGGTCACTGCATCGCAAATGAACAAGAAATTCTAGAAATGGTTGTGTTTTGACAACTTCTGGCTTACAGTATTTAAAGAAAACCAACCAGACTACAACCCATGCCAAGTTCTTACACATGTACTATGTGCACAGCTACGCATGTACTAAATTCTATGCCAATGACTCGCCATAATCAGCTCAATGGGATATTTCAGTGTGTTAACTAAACTACAAAAATAAGCTTTGGCAGGGAACAGACCATCCTTCTCTCCTGGATTTAAACTGGGGACATAAGGTTGTGCAGTTAACGACTTAAACCCAGCAAGATTAGGCCTTGTAATTATACTCTGACCTTTCCAAACAGAATTTTTCATATGCCATTTATGAAATAGGAAAGACTATGCTTTAAAAAAAACATACCTTAAAAAGCGTCACAGTAATTTCAACATTTTCAGGAACAGGCCATATGACCACCCCACGGTATGGGTTCTTGATCCCAGGCTGCCAGCTATGAGCCTAAAGGAAGAAAAGAAACAGTCGTCTTAAAGCCATTATAAAAGTGCTGACTTGACTCCCATGGGACCCAGTGTGTATAGGTAGAAGTAACATGACACCAACTCCAGAAAGGCTGTTCTTAAACCTATGACTCTACTGAACACTACAAAGGGCATCATTACAAAGGACATTAAGGAAACTCACATCACTACCAGGCTTTTTTTTTTTTTCCCCCACTGAACTAAAGCTGTTCCTCACAAGGTCCTAAACTCTTGTTTGTTTGGTTTTTAAGTACATAACACAGGTAACGACACTCAGAGCTTTGCAAAAAATTAAGGCCTTAAGGCCAGAGCTTCTGTAGCAAGATGAGCTTTGTTTTGTTTTTATCCAGATGAAGGAATGCATTTATTTAAAGAACATGAGTACAGTACATAGTGCAGGCTTAACCACATTTAGACCTAAATAGAGCAAAAAGTTTTATTTAAGAAAAAAGCCAAAACAAAACCAATGATTTGTAATACATCTTAAATGCTACTAAAACATTTACATTCTTAAGAATTAATATGCCAGGGTACCTAAACCTAGAAAAGATAATGAAAAATACAACAGTAAAATAGACTGAGAACTTGTCTACCTTTGAGTATCAATTTGGATTGATATATGGTCTGTATTTACATTTTAACAGCTAGTCCTGAAAAACGCCATGCGTGAGCATTCCTGTTTTAGAATAAGTATGCTTTTTCCAAACTCAACTTAATCCATTTTATGATGCTGTAAGACAAATGAGAAAGGGATGCTGATGCACAAGTGACTACTGAGGAGCAGAGCTGTTATTAAAAATCTATGGAAGTTTTATCAGGAAAGAACGTACAATCTATTTACTATTATCTGAAGCCAATTAACTGGGCCTTTTTTCTTTTTTTTAATTCTGCAGCATGACTCTGCAGCTTTATACTCCTTCCAACACTCAGAACTTCAGATTAAGACTGCCTATTAGAACAAATTTTTGCTATAATAAGGTTAGTAGGACTTATGCCTCAGGTTCTCAGGTACCCTAAAGTAATTTGGGCAACTTTAAACATGACTTTGCTATACCAAAGTGGGAAAGACAAAGATGGTGAAAGAGTCCCATTCAATCACATAGAGGCAATAACTCTCTGCTGCTGTGTACTGTAAGCAGTGTGTACTCCAGATTCCAGGTTCGTATCTGACAGTGCCACACCACGTGCCTGCTGCTTCATGAGCCATCTTGCATTCAGCTGGGCTTTCACCAGAGCCTGCAGCACCACAGGTACCTCTGTTGGACTTGCTCTTCTTCTAATCCCTCAGTCCTCACAAAGTGGAGGCCTGCAGGTTAACCACAGGTGACAGTAACTGCTAAGGCAGCAGAGGCAAGGAGAGGAAGGGTGAGGCTGAGGAGTTGGGAAGAAATGTGAAGCTGAGGAACAGGGATGCAGCTGGCAGAATCCAACCTGCACAGCAACCAGAGAAGAGAGCCCTACCTGCCTCCACAGCTACATGCACACAGCATGCTCGTTTCCATCCCGTTCTTTTTATTTTCTTGCCACACTTTGCCAGCTTTCCTGTGGTTTTATCACAAGTTTTTCCATCTTTGGTGTTCTGCTTAAAACCTCTGCTCTCCAAGATGTCCAATTACATTAGAAATTTCAGTAAGTTTCTATGTTTTGTGCTTGCAGAATAAACTTAAATAACATGACTTGAGGCATCTGAAGAAAGAAATTTAAAAAAAAAAAAAGGCAACCTGAAAGAATCCAATTTCTACTTTTAACTCCATGAATTTCAGCCTAATCTCATTATTCTAAAGCAGGCCTGGATTAGTTACTGAATAACTAAACAAGCAACACTGTTCATAGCTTTACTCTGCAGTATATTTTATAAGAAAAAAATGTTTTGCAAGCAGCAAAACCCACCACAGTAGTTGTCATCCCCACCACAGCCACCCAAGCTCCGCCTGCATTCCTCTCCTTTCCACAGTTCCCCCCCCCCCCCCC